CCTCATCCTTTCCGAACTCAAATTCCATTATCTTTTGCTTTAAGCTTCTAATACAGAGCTTATCATTGAGTTTCTTCATGAGTGCAATGGTTTCCCATTCGTCTAACATTCCCTTCTGGTCGCTGTCCGCCGCATCAAACACCTGATGCAACCACTTCTCCCGCATCTTCTGTCGGCCCTCTATAGAGTCCGGCGCTAAACGGCAGTGGAGTTCAACAATTTAATTAACAATATTCTGTTGCCTAACAATATGAGACTATGAATCATATTAAACAATGGAAACCCTGAACGCCTGAAGAAATTATCAATGTCAATGAATGCTAAATATTCAATGAATAAGTGCAGCAATCATTTCATTGAATTCATGCGGAATTCTGTACTAAGAAATGTGTTTTCATTAAATTACTTTTTAAATTAATACATTATAAAGGCATTACACATAACGATAATTAGTAATATTATTCGTTTTACTTTATTAAAAAATAAAATTCATAAAGACTTTATTAATTACTAGAATAAATAATAATCTAATTATTTATTAATACTATAATCCTAATTAATGCTCATATCTAATAACGGCTAAGTTTGCCTCTAATCTTAGAAATGCGTATAAATATGAATTAATTTTTATAAGTAGCGCAAAAAAGTTTAGTTTACATATAGTTTGTATAATAAAGAGCATATAAAAAGTATTAAATATGTGGCCAATCGATACGTACAGAAAGAAAGAAAGAAAGAGAGTGAGTGAGTGAGTGAGTGAGTGTGTGTGTGTGTGAGTGTGTGTGTGTGTGTGAGAGAGAGAGAGAGAGAGATTGTGGCCAATCGATACGTACAGAAAGAAAGAAAGATAGAGAGTGAGTGAGTGAGTGAGTGAGTGAGTGAGAGAGAGAGAGAGAGAGAGAGAGAGAGAGAGAGAAAAGACTAAAGAGCACATCCATTCTCGGGTATCAAATCAATACAACAATAGGGACTACAATAGTGTGTAAAAACACTATAAGACCAACATTTCAACGATGAACTCATGTTTCAGTTTTAGAAAAACTATATATTTTACGCAATATGTTATATTTAATTCAGTATTTCTTATAAACATTTCTTAATGTAATAAAAAATAACAAAGAATTTGAAAAATTTAATGAAATCTATCGCAAACAGAATATAGAGAAACAATTCTGTGATAATAATAACTGATAAGACTTTTAAAATAGAGAATAAATTCTATTATATTTCATTCAATATGTATTTCATATGAGATATATTCACAAGAATATTCTTTCGGTCTAAAAGAGTGTAAAATAAGAAATATTGATCCATTGGTTGCACACAAAAAAAGTGCATTTATTTTTAGTAAGAAATTTTTGTGACACTATTTTCTGGTGGCAAATGAATGGATCGCTTGTTATTTGGGGTCATCGATGAAAAAAAAGTCAGTGTTTGTGTTGTTGTGGTGTAAATGTCTTTTAGATTGACATGGACTCTCAAACTACACATACATTTGTTGACTCCGATCAGAAAGTTAAGTCCTGTGACCCAAATGTTTGCCTCTTCAGGTGACAGTGCGATGAGATCGAGCGATTCAAACTCGTCGGAGTGTATGACCGAAAAGATACAGTCCTCAGAGTAGGTGCCGGCGATCTCCTTATTCTTCATCACTTCGGTGTTCTTTCCGGGTCTCACCTCTCGGATGCTCCGAATCGACACTACAGTCAATGCATGAGTGTTTTGTTACAAACCACGAGTTTGTCAAAAGTTTTTATTCTTCAGACCAATTCAGTGGATAATTGAATCAATGCTTACGTCTAGCTTTGGACGACTTCTTCGATGACGGCAACCATCGGACGGCTGTTAAGTCCTCTTCTAATGTGAAGAATCGTCGGTATTGTCGGGAACTGGCCTTCACTTTGATAAGAGTACTGCCATTAATCATATGCTGTAAGCAATCCAACGCTGAAAGTAAAACAAAAATAGATTTTATGAATACAGAAATAGATATATAAACTTTACTGTACAACATGGTCGTACGAAATTCATTAAAGAATTTAATTATTTTAAAATATTCAATCGAAATAAAACTTGTCAGGCAAAATTAAAAATAGTTTAACCATTAGTTCACCTTATATTGGAAATTTAATTAGAAATGCACAATTTGAAAACAATTAAATTAGAATTTAATTTAAAGTTATTTTTCGATTTGATACCAAGACTTTGGCAGAGAATGTATAATTCAATTACATATACACTAAAAATTTAATTTCCTTTAGATTGAACTTTTGACAATTTCGAGTGAAAGGGATTTGCATAAAGTTTACAAAACATTTCGTGTTAACAAAAATGGAAAAATACTTAATCCTCTTATAATGGTATAAATGAAATTGAAAATTGTTTAAATTATTGTGTCATTTATATAGTATTTGAAAATTATATAGGAATTGGAAAAATAGGAAATGTCAAATGAAAATTCTTTACTATAAGCATAATAAATATAATAATCAATTTGTATTTATTAATATTTTATTCTTTATTCCGTAACTGATTAATGGGAAATATACTGTTTTGCATGTCTTTACTACATTCTGTAGTAGTTGTTATGTAATGTATTGCATTGAATATACATTTTTATTTATAATACAAATACTGTATTAAGCTAACTAATAGAAATGATAATTTCATAACTACTTCTGTTATTTCAACATAATATTCAAATATTTCAATATTCAATTATATATTATATAATACAGATCTCATTTGGTGAAAACATAATAAAATTAGTCATATTTATCGAATATAAATTCATCAAAATGAGTACTAAATTAATTATTAGCTAGAAAAAATATAATATCTTATTATAAAATTAAATAATTAATCATAATTTTATTCAAATAATGTGTAAAAATATTTGCTTAATTTTTGCCACCATTTATTAATAAATGAAAAAATTTATAACTAATTAGTTTAATTTACTTTAACAAAGCCACTTAAATGGTATAAATGACATATTTGTTAATATATTTGCATAAATTATGAATAAATGTTTAGTTCAATTCAGGCTAAAATAATTGAAATAATTAATAAAATTATTGATTTTGTTTGATTATAACAGATGAATGGCTCAAAAAAGACACATCGATTCAGTGACCATAGAAATTAAGTAATAATTAGCGATCTTTAGTTAGGATTTAGTGGTATTTGTTTAAAGGCGTGTTTGACTCGTTAGGCCGTAAACCAGTTGTTCATCACTTAAATGGCTTAACAAATCCTTTTCGTCTAAAATTAAGTTCTCTTTCAAATCAATAGTGACTCTAAATAATGAAATTCTCTCCCAATTCATACAGAATTCGCTTTTATTTAACGAATATTCTGTCGGATTTCCACACAATATAATGTCATTTTAAGTCTGAATAATGCTAAATATCATATAATGGCATTAAATGCTAATCTTAAATTCTAATATTAATATGAATTAATTATTTTTGTGTTTTATATTTAATATACTGTACAGTATTAAAGGATACCAACAAAACATGGCACATATATGCAGTATATAATAAGGACTAGACAAATTCAAAATGAGTTTTCATATTCTTTATGAAACATACACTAATGAACAAGCAACAAAACCAGTGTTGACCAGTATAGTTTGACTGATTGTTATACTTGTATATAAATTTCAAAAGCCAATTAAAATAAACTACCATAAGGGTTGTTTCATCGATTTTCAATAAAACCTTTGAGTAAGTTTTATGAATACTGGTATAGCTTCATTATCTAAAATAACGTAACTTTTAAAATCCTTATCAATTGTTTTCACAAACGAATAATCAATTATTAATACATAAGTTGTAGAGAAAAGTTATTGTTCGCCAATAAAAGAGGCCAACCGTTAGATTCAATGCTAAAATAGTTTTATGTGCTCAACATATACTGTATATTATATTATATACTGTATATTATACAGTATATATTAACTTATTGCGAACCCACCTCTGGATTATTGGGTCATAGAAATCAGTTATTATAGACTTTTGTCATGAATTGGAGTTTTATTATAAGATATTATTGATAATACACATACAAGTAGTACAGAATATTATTATTAGTGCAAATAAGTTATTGTATTAAAATTGAAAGTTTAATAAAGGGAATAGTTTTTAAAAAATAAGTGTTGAATTGAAAAAAGAGATAAAATAATAACATTTTTAATATCAAAGTTGAGGCAAAAAACACTCAAAATTTACTTTAACCGAAGTTAACAAATAAAACAATTCTGTATATTATATGACAATATAATTCTCTAATGAATGCAATTGACAAACAAAACAAATAGGAAATAATTTATTCATATATTAATATATGATATTTGTCTCATTCCTTATTTAATTAAAGCACTTTTACTATTATGCAGAAAATAAGGTTTCATTATTCAATTGATTCAATGAATTACTCGTTTTGTTGACTCAAATTGTCACTAAAAATGTAGTATTTTTTTATTAAAATTCAATTTTATGTTAATACACAATTCTGTATAGTAAATCTTATTTCATAAGTACTGTAGTAGAATTGTTAATATAATTATAGTAATATTTTTCATCAATAAATACAAAAAGGATTTAATGTAAGAGTACACTACTAAAATTTATAGACATTTATGTAATACGATTCAAAAAATTTTACGACAAAAATATCACAAAATTAAAGAATGAATAAAATTTAAGCCATAATTGTCTCGATTTGTCGCTCAGATTATTGAAATGTTTTTGAACACAAATCCCTCTTTTGTGTCCAACGATTATATCTGTAAAACAAATATTTAAACTAAAAATGCCTTTTCTTCTAAAAAGCATTTTGTCTGCCATTAGTTTGCGATAAAAAACAATTTCATAAATCGTTAGAATTATCGCAAAATTCTCTTCCATTTAACGATCTTTTATACACACATTGAATGCAGTGTCGGTTCACAGCATTTGCTCAACACTTTTCGGTATTTATTTGAATTTCTTATCAAATATTTTTAATATTTTAATATAATATAAGATTTTAGATAATTATATTTTACTGCCGTTAAAATAAACTGATCAAATATTTATTTAAATTAAATATATTTTAATTAAATTCATAATTAATGCTTAGAATTTAAAAATTAAAAAATTATTACGAAGGGTTTATCATCATTAATAATATTTAATTTATTACTAAAATGCTTAACAAAATAAATCATTTATAATATTTTGCTGAATTTTTATCAAAACTAATGTATAATTTAAATAAATGCAAAAATAAATCTCTCATCCCATGTAACATTAGTTTGAAACTAAATAAATAGTATTCTCGTATACATTAGTATTATAGATAACTCTTAAGACGGAAAAATAATTTCATTATAAAAAGAATTGTTGTTTAATGAAGTGCTGAACCGATAATTCAGTTAAGATTTCTCTTTCCTAATGCCTTCACTCTATTGTATTGTCTAATACTATATTACAAACACATTCACAAATTCGTTAGTATTTGAACAAAACCGTTGAAAACAATATTGCTGAACCGATAATTCAGTTAAGATTTCTCTTTCCTAATGCCTTCACTCTATTGTATTGTCTAATACTATATTACAAACACATTCACAAATTCGTTAGTATTTGAACAAAACCGTTGAAAACAATAAATTTTCTCTCACTTATTGTGATGAACACTCTTTAAACTAATATACTGTATTTATATGCATATTATACATTATATAAGAACTTTTTTAAACCAATAAAATTCTTGCAAAATTCGCTTAAAATTTGAATATTTATTATCGATAAATAAATTATCTAAATAGTGAGGATATTTTTTTCATTATTTTTCACATTATGCTTTAGTAACTTTAACAAGATCATAAAGCTTTTCATATATCCATAACATCTGATAGGAAGTATTAATTGAAGAATATTCTCAATTCTTGTGGAATTTTTTGTTATTTCCTAAATAATACTGGAATTACATACTGAATAAAAAAGTAAAATATTTTTCATGTGGGTTTAAATAAGATGCAATGGGTTTATATTATTA